ATGTTATTTGGACTCATATGTTGGGATTTAGAGCCGAATACGCCCAAAACGTAGTTAAAAAAGGGCGTTTCGGGGGCGAAAATTGAAAACAGCTCCCAAACCGTCGTGTGGCCGACACGAACACCTTCCCCATGCCAAATATGACTTGTTACAACTGACGGAATGTTATTTGGACCCATATGTTGAGATTTAGAGCCGAATATACCCAAAACTTAGTTAAAAAAGGGCGTTTCGGGGGTGAAAATTGAAAACAGCCCTCGAGCCAGTAGTGTCTGGCATTTCCTGTTCTATGGCTCAAGATCATGTCTTGAAGATGTATGATATATGGTCTTAATCACATACACTCATGTTTATATCTATGTTGTGACTGGGTTCGTTATTTTTAGACCTAGAATCGAACCAATGTATTGAAAAAAAATCGAACCAACCCAACTTGTAGAGGTCGGATTAGTTCGATTCTCGGTTTTTTTTTTGGATATCTTGTGTACCCCTGGCAGTAACAAGTACATTTCTTTAAGGTTATTGTAATTGAGAAGTAATAGCATAAAATTAAAGGCTAATTGTTGTTGTCCATTTGTGGTGGAAACTCTGTTTTGCAGAAACATTTCTGGGTCATCATTGAAAGGTTTTCTTGCTCCAGAATTGGGCTGACTCTCTTCCTTGAGAGAACTGTATGCTTTCCTTCTAATCAAACTATATAACGGTTCTGTTTTCTTGTTTTATTTAATTATTTGTTAAATAGAACACAATGGTTGAAGCTTAATTTGATATCCTGATGATTTACAGAGTTTTGCACGGAAACAATTTGATTGGTGTAATACCCAAAGAAATTTGCATGTTGAAATACCTGAGGGTCTTGGATTTGGGAATGAATCGGCTATCGGGTCCAATCCTTCTGAAATTGGGAATTTGACCAGCCTCATGAAAATGTAAATGGAATTTGACATTTTTGACTTGGCAATTTGAAGTACCTCGAGGAACTTCAACTAGATAGGAATAAGCTTCAAGGATTTGTTCCTGGAAGTAACAATTCAGATTTTACATCCACCAGTCATGGGATGTAAGTAGAAAATTCTTGCATTGGCCTTTTTAAAGTTTTGTGTGCTTTCACTGAAATAGTTTCTTGTAGCATGTATTTCGACTTGAATGTGTTTTTAAGTAGAAAATAAAGATGTATATAATTGCACACTTCGTTTACCTATATATAGCTTGTCTGTTAGCTAGAATATTGATGAACTGATCAATACAATCTACAGATCCATAATATAACACTACTAGTTGTATGTTTTATGCTTAGCTAAATACTAAAATGCTGGCTAATTCATGGATTTAGTAAAGGTAAGGAAAAGAAAGTATAAAGGAAATTATTTCCGGTTGGTTGGCTACCAAGAAAACAGAATGGAAAAAGCAAATATGATAGGGAGTATGGGAGAAATTCCTGTTTTGAATGTCATGTTTCCATACATTTTTCTTGATTACCTGCTTTTTTATTAGTATTGATTTCCCATTATACTTGCATAAAGGTATCCTGATTCTAATTATAGTAATGTTCTGTCATTGCTAATCAAGCATTAATGAGTCAAATAATGTAAGATAGTGAAAAGAATATATAAAAGTTGATAATGTTATGAATGTTGTATAATAATGAAAAATAGCATTATTTAGATGATTTGAATGTATTGATTTTCTTAAAATTGACACGGTTTATTTCTGTTATAGGTATGCCTCAAGTTGGAACACTACTGGTTTGTGTCGTTCATCGCACTTAAAAGTTGCTGATTTCTCATACAACTTCTTTGGTTAAATGTTTTATCAAGCTCAAGTTCAATTTTTTTATCAAGCTCCCTCGATGGCACATGCAAGGTTACTTAATTATGTTAAATGTGTCATAATAATATCTTCTTAGCATGAGTTTTTTTGTTTCTCCAAATGACTTATTTTCGTATTGTAGGTATGGGACGTTACTGGAAGACTTTTACAAACTCGAGCTTTTCCACTACCAATTACTGCAATAGTTGTTGATCCAACAAAGATGAAGTTATTTTCTGGTGGTATAGATTACTAGTGGATATTTCTTTTTTGTATACGGAGGACATCATTTTTGTATGATTATCTGTTTGTATGGAATTATTATTTTGGGTTGGATTATATTTGGTTTGTATAGAATTTGATGTTACAAGACCAAATTTTTTGATGGTTGAAAGTGAAATAGAAATAGACATATGTATTGTTTTGTTTATATTGAGGGTGCAGGTTGCACGAAATAAATATAGATTATGCAGAAATTAATAATAATAATAAAAAAAAAATAACACCGAATAAAGTTTTTGATGACTAAATGTTTAGTAGCCAAAAAAAAAAAATAAAACTTGCTAGCTACTAAAAATTTAGTAGCCAAAAACAAACCAAAGATTTTTTGGCGACTAAAAATTTAGTAGTAAAAAATATATGAGACTTTAGGCGACTAAATAGTTTAATAGCTAAAAAAAATATATGAAAATTAATTTAATAATAAATAAAACTTTGGGTGACTAAAAGTTTTAGTCGCTGAAAATGAAAATTAATTTTATTTGAAAATTTTTGGCGACTAAATATTTAAGTCGCCAATTTATGACTTTTGGCTACTAAAAAAAATTTAGTCACCAATACCTCATACTTTTCCCTACTAAAACATTAGTAGCCATTTATAGGACTTTTGGCGACTAAATTTTTTTAGTCGCCAAAACCTTCCCCAACCATTTTTCCGTGACAAATTTAGCGACCAAAATATTTAGTCGAGAAAAGGCTTCGGCGACTAAAAATCTTACTTTTGGCGACTAAAATTTTAGTCGTCAAAAGTGCATTTTCTTGTAGTGGTTATAGAATTTGTTGCAAGTATTGTTACAATTCTATCTGGTCACAATCTTCACACTATAATACACACCATACTCAGGCTAACGCCAAGACAATGACAAAACTATGATTATTTAAAGAAAGAAAATGACTTACATTGGGTCACAAATTAGGGAAATACTATGGTGTGTATTATATATATTATAATTAAAAAAAAAATTGATGTAATTAAAAGTGTATATAATATAACCTTATTAAAATGGTGTATATTAAATTTTTTCACAAATTAATAGAGTCCTAGGATTGTACGATTCAAAGTTTTATTTATTTATTTATTTTTTATTTTTTTATAGAACCAACCAAACACTGAGAAAATATATTAAGTGGGAAAATTTTGACATTCTATCCCTGAACCTTACAAATGCACAAATAATCAAAAGGCCTACTAACCATCTTTAACAAAAAAGAATTGTTATTCTCCCAATATCATTATAAAATCACACACTACTATGATGCTTTTTACTTTAGTTCTCTCCTTTATTGATATATAATCGTACATCATATATGTTTGTGATCATCAATAAAGCTATTTTTTTTATTGACAAAAAAAAAAAAATTTTAGAGATCAATTTTTTTTTTTTTTTTATCTCCAAAAATATAAACTTCATTGTAAAAAATATTTAGAGACTAATTTCACTGTCGCGAGTATAGTCGTTAAAATATCGTCTCGAAAAGTCAAAAAATGAGATTTTAGGAATAAAATTTTAAAAATATCACTAATAAATAAACTTTAGGAGCAAAATAATTTAGTTCCAAAAAAGTTTATTTTTTGACACAACACTTTTAATTCCAAAAGGTTAGTAATTCATCACTAACTGTCCAATTTTGTGGCTAACAATAAAATAGTAACATTTTGATGACAAAAATATGTTGTCCCTAAAAAGTAATTTTATTCATATATTTTTGTTTCTAAATTTTAATTTCTTGTACTGCCATGAAACCCCATAAAAATCTTCTTCTTACTGTAAGTAAATCCATTAAACACATCAACATGTATCTGTCATGAAATCATTATGGTATACGCTCAACCAACCTACTTGGTAATCACCCAACTACTTCGATTTGCCAGGTAATAAAGTCAGGGAAATTCCAAAGCTTTGTTTGTTAAAAGAAAGGGAATAATAGCAGCCCTCACTATCCATATCATTTGCAAAACATTAATAGCCTTATTAACAACTTAGATTTACCATGTTTTCATGTCATGGTAATGATAAAACTGTGGTTATTGAAAGAAAGAAAACGACATAGGTTTACATCACACACACGCAGCAAAAATAAATAAAAAATCAGGGCTTTCTTGTTTGGCAGTTCCATTGGACAAACATCATTTCACTGTAAATGCATCATATCTTATGTATTTGTGAGCCTGAACCCAAAATGTCTCTATCATCTGTAGCTTACTCCTTTGATGACCTAACGGCCATGTTTGTTCGGTTCTTTGAGTGAGTGGATTTGACTAATAGTGAGGGAGGGCTACGTAGAGAGTGTTTGGTTTTGCAAGATTGTGATGGGATTGACATTCCAAGGAAACTAGCATGTATGATGTACGTGACAAATTTTAAAATATGAACGGTTTGAATCATTAAAATTAAATTCAAAAGTGAATCCAATAGCCCATCAACTGGGGAGTCAAGGATGAGAGTCAAGGAGGGATCCTTGCTCAAAACGCCTCGCCTTATGTTTTTGCTTTTTAAAAACATTGGTTCTACCAAAAGAAAAGGTAGGAAAGAACTGATAAAGGGCACTGGGTGTTCAGCTGAAGCACATCCATAAAAGAAAATTTATTTGCTTATAGGCTTCAAGTAAATGACACTCTGGTCACAAAACCTTGTCTGGAAGAATGATGATAACTACAGAATCAGCATTTCCATATTTTATTTTTTAAAACTTCAAACTACAGAAGATTCAAAAAATAAAAAATAAAAAAAGTAGCAAATTTAAGCAGAGGAAGAGCGCAAGTGCAAAAAGAAGGGGAAAGAAAAAGAAAATTTTGAAAATTGGGAAAGTCAAGCTTACAATTTAATAATAGCCTGTTTAGAAAATAATCTTCAGGTTTGTGCAATATTCTTATTGAATCTAACACAATTTAAGATGATTTGCAATGAACCAATCATAAAAACTTGAAGGCAAATATTATTATACACACTCCTAATAATAGGAACAAGGCAAGGTGGTTGTTAATAACAACCATATTTATTCTTTACACTCCCATATTGTTATAACTTCATTCTATCATGAAATTCAAATTCAACTACTATTCTTAATCATTCAAACCCTAAATCCCATCTTGCACTGCCCCTAATACCCCAATATTTCCCCGCTATGCCAGCCCCTCCATCACTCCAAGATGAGAAACATATACATGAGCCATTTCTTCGTGAAAACAACTCCATTTAATTTTAGCTACAGGATTATTATTCATACATACAAACATATAATCACTAAATATTTGCTAAATAGTACTGATTATCCAGACACTCATTTCTTCTTGTAATAGGCTCGGACTGTGTAAATTGCTTGCACGACTGTGAGGCCAAATATGATAATGGCAGCAACAACAGCTATGCCTGTCCATGGATTAGCAAAGTAATCGCGTCTGAGCGATGCCATAAATCTTGGACACAGTTTGCGACAGTGATTGCGAGCGTCCTCACATGCTTTTTCAAAATAGAACCTTCCCACGACAACTTCCTTGCAGATGTTGTTGAAGAGATCTGCGATGTCTTGGCTGGTACCCAAATAGTTTTGTAGGATTTCAGCCTTTTCAAGCAGTTCAACATCGTGAGCAGAGTTGATGAGTGTATCCATAAAGAAGCCATACGAAGAGATGTGACGTGGAACATTAGGGCAACATTGCTCGAAAGCAATGAGGTTTCGTAATAATGGCTCAGTGTCGTCGCGAATTGACAAAGTAGGTATTTCAAACTGAGCTCTACGACAGTACCCTAAAGGGCCTGGAGGTTTAACGAATTCAACGTCGAATAGGTCTTCTCCATCACGATTCTTGAATTGTACTCCTGCCAAGTCAAGTTCTGATGCAGATGGGAATCTGGATCTGGTTTTATCGTTTTCCTCTTCCGGTGAAGGATCAGGAAGGTAGCACTTGTGTAAAACATCGAGGATATGATAATCATGGGGGTCACCCTTCTTTTCAAGTGTATCATCTCCGTGTCTGAAAAGATTGCCAAAGAATGAAAGCACACACCGAATAAGATAACGTTTGTTTAAAGAAGGATCTGGGATACTTGGCACAGCAAACTTCAACAATTTTTCAAGAACAAAGAAGGGAATCTGGTTCTCTAGCAGTAGCAAGTCATGTCGGATGGCACGGAGCCTTATGGGGCTGTCGAAAATTGGGTCACCATTGTTTTTCTTTTTCTTTTCTTTTGCTTTTTCAGGTTCTTTTTTGGCCAAGTAGGACCTGAACAGAAGTTCAATTATGAAGCAACCATCATTAAACATCATCTGAGCTAGGATTTTAGAAGAACCATTCTGCTGGTTTTCTTTTTTTGTGAGTTCAATTTTGTCTGCATAGCACTTTCTTACACTGGCTTCAAATTGAGGTTGTTCCATGGCAGTCAAACAGCGTTGCTTTTGTGTTTCGGACATGTACTTGGAACAAAATGATTCTTTGTAACTCAATTTGATCTGCTCCATTGCATCAAGACGTTTGTCATTGCTGTGAATTGGTCCGATAGAAACAACACGCGGTTTATACGCACTCTCTTTTAGTGTACGAAGCTCCTCAGGGACCTTATAAATACAAGTTGTCGCTTGCTCAGAAGACGCTTGGTCACGACCTGTGTCAATGGTTTGTTATTAGCCAAAGCATGTTATATACCGCTTAATTTTCTTTACTACCGTTTTATCTCACTGGACATCACGCAGTAAAAATTCAAGGCAATAGTGATACCGGTAATATAATATCATCAATAAATAAACAATAAATTCTATATTACCATCAATAAATAAATAATAAATTCTATATAGAAGGAATGAATCTCTGCTTTTTAGCTAAAACTACCTTGTCACATATGCAAGGAAGGTAAATGTTGAAAAATTATTGGATATTAATACCGATAACATGGTTTCACCGTTGCATTAATTTTTTTTTTTTTTTTTGTACATCACATTATCTTATTTGTGCTTGTTAAACAAACAATTCAAAGTGGGTGTTTGGTTTTTATTATAAGGGTTTTTAGTTTAAGGTCTATAATAATAAGATTTTATAAGATAAATAACATACAATATTTTTATAATAATGTCGTATTAGTAGATGAGACTACAGAAGAAGTTAACACTAAGTTAAAGATTTGGAGAAAAATATTTGAATCTAAAGGATTTAGGATAAGTAGAACTAAGACATAGTATATGGAATGTAATTTTAGTAACAGTCACAATAGAAGCAGATGATAAGTGAAGATTGAGGATCAAAAACTATTTAAGAGTGAACATTTTCGTTACTTAAGAGTGAACATTATCACAACGACTAGAGAGATTGAAGCGGATGTGGTCCTTAGAATTAAGGCGGGGTGACTTAGGTGGAGGAGTACTTCTGGAGTACTGTACGATAAACGAGTACCCACTAGACTAAAAGAGAAAGTTCTATAGAATGACTATTTAGACCAGCGATGTTATATGGGACGAAATGTTAGGCAAGTAAAAAACAACATGTGCATAAGATATGAGAAATAGGGGCCAAAAGTAGGCTAGGATGTCGAGAAATTTGGAAGCTAGGTAGATGACAGTGAAAATCATGAGAGAGAAAGCCATGGCGAACAAGATGCAGAATTTGAACTTTAGAAGCTTTCCTGAGATCTCCATAGCTAGGTTTGGGTTCCAATTTGAAAGAGGATGAGATGAGGCTCAAGTTGCGTTCTTAAACACTTGGCTGGGTTTTTGAGGTATTTCTAGAGATAGGGAGAGAGAGAGAGAGAGAGAGAGAGAGAGAGAGAAATTGGTGTTTTTGTCTTTGTTAAGAGATTCTCTGTTGTAAATTTTGATTTAAGGCTTTGAGGCCTGTAAACTTTCAATTTCATAAATGCACATAAAAAAATACAGAAAAGTATTGAAAAAAATATATGTCGCCCATTTTATTTTCGGTGTTATCTTTAAGAAAAATTGTACTTTAGTATAAGTTTTCAAAAGAAATTATGGTTGCGTTTGGTAGAGCTTTAAAATTATGATTTTAGAATAGAGTTGTATCTTGAGTTTGATTATAAATTTTGAATAGAATTTTTAATAGAGTTTTGAATCGTGTGTTTGGTTATGAGTTATAAACTTTTGAATTAAATTTTGAAAACTCTTTTCAAAACTTATAACCAAATAAATTTTTATATTTCATATGTCACATTAAAAATTCAAAACTCAATTCAAAATTTAATTAAAAAATCTTTTTAAAATTCATAACCAAACAAATTTTTTTCTTTTGAAATTATAATTCCAAAACTCACAAACTCAAAATACAATTCTATTCTTAAATTATAATTTTAAAACTTTATCAAACACCAACCTTAAACTTTTACGTTAAATTCGACCAGACGAATCAAAAAAATTAAGGAAAATGTCCCAGACCTCCAATGGGGGTGACCTCCACCACTCTCTACTATTTTTTTATTGGTCCATATTTTTTTTTTGTTCCACTTACAGCCTCTCACGTGGAGGTGGGGGTGCTGGGAGTCACTCCTACTGAGGGTCCCAACATGATTGAAAAATTAAAATTGGTTGAATCAAAAAAATTAAGGAAAATGTCCCAGACCTCCAATGGGGGTGACCTCCACCACTCTCCACTATTTTTTTATTGGTCCATATTTTTTTTTTTGTTCCACTTACAGCCTCTCACGTGGAGGTGGGGGTATTGGGAGTCACTCCTACTGAGAATCCCATCATGATTGAAAAATTAAAACTTGAAAAATGGGAGAGACCCTCACTGGAGAGATCCCAGCACCCCAATGGGTGTTAGTTGGTCCAACAAATTTTTTATTTTTTTGTTTTCTTCCGCTCTTTGTACCCCATGTGTATGTGAGGGATTGTAGGGGTCACCCCAGCTGGGATCTGCACCAGTGTTGTTAAAACTTAAACTCTTGATGTCATTGTCAGATGCATGGACCCTCAACAACTAGACTAGCCCTCGTGCATAGTTTAGAATGACCATTAAAAAGAAATAAAAAAATAAAAAAAACTTTCAATTATTAGTCTTACCCAAATCGGACCTATTTCTAGCAGTGTCCTCCGCTTCAGATTCGACAAAAAAGTTGTCGTCGTAGGGCTTACGTGGAAGTCTTTTAGCCGGTTGTACTTTTATAAGCCGTTTTATGCAATCCAGCAACCGTGGTGCACATTCCTTGCCTGTTGAGGATTTATGCACAAAAATATATACAATTCCCTTTCACAAAAATATATCTATAATATTATTTAATATAAATAAAATTAGTAGATAACCGTCTGATGCATGTAAATTTATTTTTAAAATAAAAAATTAATTTTGAGTCTTAATATTTTAATTAAATCATTTATTTATTTTGATAATTTTAATTCTATTGTTCTATAGAAATGTAATTATTATATAATGATTTTATATGATATATATTAAATTATAAAATTACATATTAAAAATAATAGTTAAATTAGAAAGATAATTAATAATATAAAACTAAAAGTAATTCTAATTATTTAATTTAAATATTATTGTTATATTTATTTAGAAAATAAAAATATGTAGAAATAGAACTACACAAAATTTATTTAAGAAATTAAATATAAATATCTTGTGATATGATTAATAAAAAATATATATATAAATTAATTATGAAAAGTATTGATTTTTCCTTTAATATTCTTTTTGAATTATTCATACATATTGTTATGAGAGCCAGAAAAATATAGGTGCTAACTTATTGAGCCTAACCCAAACAAAGTCTACAATGGGTCTAACCCAAACAAATATCACACCTCCCATCTACATAAAAGAGGGGGCATCCCAAGTGGAAGGGATGTTTTGATCTCTCTCTACAGAACACACACCCCTTCAAATATATATACAATTTACTTCCTTGATTCAAGGACTAACTTCATCATCGAAGAGTCCCCGGCCGGCAACCCCGGTTGGGTGGCACCGACTATGTTCATCTTTGCAGATCTATAGGGGTGAAACTCTTCTCTTCGTTGGATTTCTACAACATCCATGTGAGAGGATATTTCATGGTCTCACAATTGGCGCCGTCTGTGGGAAACGTCTGAAAGAGTTCAACGAAGGAAATAACAAACATGTGACTGTAAATAAAAATCCAACATCACTTTGATGGAGATCTTTGTTCTCTCTGAGTAAATTTATCTTAAACTTATTTGCAAAATTGGTTCTTTGTTCCTGGTACATGTTGATGAAAAAAGTGTTAAATCAGAATAGAATTCATGGGTCTACTTTTACATCTCTGTTTTCTCTCTCTCAAAATGGGTTTCACATTTTTCTTGGTGCACACATCTTTTCGGCAATTCAATTAAGTTGCTCGGCTAAATCCATATGTGGATCTGTCCGTTTATTTATTTATTCTTTGTTTCTCAAAACTTAGCTTCAAGTTGATGCTTGACATGTATGCACGTGTACCTATGCTAGAACTTTCTGTAGAATCCAAGGCTGGGTCTTCAATTTTTTCTCTCACTAGAATTGGACCACAATAACTTGGAGTGGATTAAGCTTTCTTATTCGGCACTTTATTTGGCTTGTCTATCAACCAACTCAGCAACAGTAACTCTTTATTGGGTTGTTCGTCAACTCTCTTGTTATTCTAAATCTCATTTCTGAAAGCTGTCTCTATATTTGCAAAGATACATTTATATATATATATATATATATATATACATGCATATGCATCAGACTTGTTTGTTCGGCTCACAGACAAGGTGTTATAGGCCGACCATGGCTCTCTCTAGCACTATTATCGGCAAAGGTGGAGTCGTGCCGACCAAGTGCTTCAACATGTCAACCAAGGCGATTTTCCTTCCAAATGTCTCGGCAAGACAAACCCAGTGGGGCAGGACCCACCTCTTGGATTTCTTTTATTTTTTGCTCTGCAACATCAACGATTAACTCATGTTTGTAGTCTTTGCATATAAAGTTATTTATCACCTTGATCCTTGTGGCCATTTCTTTTTTAGGTGTTCATTTCAGTTTGTAGAGAAAAATTGCAGGGAACATTTTGGCAACTCAGCTACCCATTGCGGCAAGTTGCTTGAGGTTGGGCAAGCAATGGAATTAAGAAAGTTATGAAGGGTTAATCACATAATCAATTGCCGATCAAGCATTTCAGCAAACGGCAAATAAAAGACTAAGAGATTGCAGTGCTCCATCTCTCGGATAACCAACCAAGTGCTATTAAAGAGCAGAATTTACGAGCTGCGGACCAATTGTTTTGGCAAGCTAAGAGATGCCGACTAGTGTTTCGGCATGCCAAGATGAGTGTCAATCGGCACCCATAGTTGGGCCTTGCTCCTCTAAGAACAGTTCTCGGTAAGTAACAACAAGTGAATTGGCAAATGATTTTTAATACGTGCCAACCAAATGCCGAGCAACTCTCGCCTGGGGTGATCTAGGAGTTGTGCGCCGAACACATAAGACCTTGTGGCGAATTGATCGGCAACTAATCACTCGCCAAGTTTTAATCCAATCAAGAGTTAAAATACATTGGCACCTCTCCACCACTACATACTGTTCTAACCAGCTTGGGAACCCGCACTTCGGTGACATCGCTTATTCGGCTAACATTGCTTATTCGGCAAGACTACTCGGCCAAATACGTCCAC